CCCGGGCCGCCGGCACCGCCGGCGTCACTGCTGCTGCTGCTGTCGGTGGGGCTGTCACTGCCTCCGCCGAAGTCGCCTCTTCCCGAAGGGGACGACGGGGGAACGCTGCCTCCGTCCCCCGGAATCCCGTTGCCGGGTGCCGTCGGCGCCTCCTCGCGCACAAACAGCGTCGCTTGCCCTGGCCCACGAGCCTCCATCACGTCGAGGTCGGACTCACTCTCTGAGTCTCTCCCCCTCCCCCAACCTTGGCGTGATGGATCTCTCTGCTCTCGCCCTCCCCGCCCTCCTCGTCATCTGCGAGAGGTAGCAGCTGCGGGGGAGCGGGCGATGCAGCGGGCACGTGGCGCCAGGTGAAATTGCGGGTGGTGATTACGGTTCCAGCTTCTGTTAGCATGCGAACGCAGTCACGGGGGTGGTTGTGGGCAGGACCAAGGTACCATTCTTTTTCGCCCTTGGGTTGCGACTTCGCTTTTCTTCTCGACTTGAACTCGGCTGGTTTGAGAAACGGGTATGTAGACCCGACAGGCGGTGGGGAGTCGTGGAACATCTCGTAGGCGGATTTGTCTCCCTCGTTTGATTTTGTGGCGGTGCACTTCAGCTGAGGGCATGCACACGAAATGGCCTCGGCCCACAACCCGGGGTGGTTCGGTGCGTTGGGGAACAGTTGCGTCGCTTGGACGCATGACGCAAGCGCGGCATCAGTGATCAACCCTAGCGCTCTCTCCGCTTCACCATTGTATTTTGGGGTGTGAGGGGGGGTGTACTCTTGTTTGATGTCGTGCCTGCTGCAAACTTCCGCAAACTGCCCCTAGAACTCGCCGCCACCGTCGGTACATGCGATATGAACCTCACACGGAACCCCTTTCGTTCGGTAGTTCGCCAGGAACTTCTCAAACCCAACCACTGCGTCAGACTTGTGTTTCAAGAAGAAAACACGCGTCCAACGGGAAAATCGTCTCTGATGATCAGTATGTACCAGTTGCCACCAATGCTCCTGGTTTTCATCTTTCCCCCCAAGTCGAGATACATGCGAAATAACANACCACTGCGTCAGACTTGTGTTTCAAGAAGAAAACACGCGTCCAACGGGAAAATCGTCTCTGATGATCAGTATGTACCAGTTGCCACCAATGCTCCTGGTTTTCATCTTTCCCCCCAAGTCGAGATACATGCGAAATAACATCTTAACTGCGCGTGTGCTCGTGCCCTTCTGGACGGGTTTCACCTGTCCCTTGGACATCGAACAGCCAAGACAGGGTAGCAGCGGTCCATCCGTCAGCTGCACTCCCTGCTGCTCCGCCGTGATCCTGAGCAATGTCTCCTGGGCATGGCCGCGCGCGAGGTGGTAATCGTTGAGGTCAGTGGGGTTGGCTGCTTTCGCATCGCCAGGAACAATGAGTGCGGCACAAGCGGTGTGTATCGTTGGTTATATTTGATAGCCTCGTTGGGTCAGCAGCTTTCTAGTCCGGGGGAACCACACCTCCCCCCCGGCTTTCGTGGTCAGCGTGAGGCCCCCCTCATCCCCGAATACGTGTAGCCCTCCTCCGCCAACGAAGACAACGAGAGGAGGTTGTAGGGGGCCTCTGGTACATGGGCAGCATTCCGTACTGGTACGGGTACTCCACCATCTTCCGCCTGTAGGGCTAAGGTCACATCTCCGTATCCTAGAAGAGGAACGGGAGCCTTGTCGCCCCCGATCCCCTTCACCCAACCGCTACGCTCACGGTAGTTCACGAAGTTGTCTGCACATCGGAACATGGAGCACGTGGCCGCTGTGTCGGCCACGTACACCGCCTGGCCTTGTTCCACAACCCCCACTAGACCTACTTCACCAACGGTACCACACTCGCCTGGGGGGACTGCCACGGCACAAAACGCCTGGTCTTCCACGGAGTCCACGTCGCTCTCATGCTCCACCACTTGCGCTAGGACGGCCTCCTCCGTCGCGCACTTTTCTTTGGTGTGGCCCCACCCCTCGCAGCGCGCACACCACGGCACGAAGTCCTTCTCGTTGGTAGTGCAGCCGATCGCTTGATGTCCACGATGTCCACACCTAAAGCACCGGCCCGGGAACTTATAGTCCCCGCCACCGCCGCCATCGGCGCCTCCACTACTGCTTCCCTTGCTCTCCTCGACTTCTCCAGATCCGCCTGAGCGGCCGCCGCGACCGCCGC